CATTTCTGTTTCTTGGAAGTTGAGGTTGTCTGTGGATTCCTGGGTGGTGTTAAGACTGCGTACTGGAGTAGTGGGACACCCTGCAAACCAATCAGTTCGGCATTGGGTAATAATGGAGTTCTCATGGCTAACTGATATATGTGCATATTAACTTTACATCAGTAATGATTAATCTGAAATATTAGATAACTGCACATGGTTTATCATATATTCATATACACATTCATTGATATCAGACATCTTGTGTAATGCAAAGATGGCTTGTACAGTAGGTGCCAATTAGTATTTAAATAAAAAGGAAAAACATACTGAATACATAAGACATCTTGTGTAATGCAAAGATGGCTTGTACAGTAGGTGCCAATTAGTATTTAAATAAAAAAGGTAAAGAACAAAAAAGAAGGGTAATAATAATTATGCTTAAATAATCAGAAAAGAGCAGCTTATATTCAGATCTGATTTGTGGATTGCTATTGCCTCTTATTAAATATAATTTCACTTAAAAAAAATAGAGCAAGTGTAAAGCTAATGGCTGTAGAGCAGTACTCAGGAAACAGAAACCTATACCTAAATAAAGCTAGGAAAAATATCAATCATTACTTCAAAACAATAAGAAACCAAGAAGAGCATTTGGTGTAAAATCAACCAAATACAAATTTGAAGTAAAGTTTCATAAATGCTGCATATTCAATGAATCTTTTAAAGACACCTTAAGCAAATCCTTTCACAAAGGATCACAAATGATTAACAACAACATATTCCCACCTTTAACTGAGTACCAAATAACCTGAGGTCAGTGAATGGAATTCATAATTCACTACGATTACTCCATGTCAACAGATAAAGTATATGTCACAATCATACCTTGTAAATATTATGCATGTTTATGCTTTAATCAAAAACTGCAAAGACCTATATCTGATAAAAGTGTATATTGCCTCAATCAGCAATTATGTGTACCACAAATATCCTGCCTACCACACTTACACTGGAGACATGTACCATCCAATGTATTGTTGCTCTGTTAATTTTGCTTACATACAGATGGCTAGGCCTACCTGACCACAACTGTTTACCCCAATCCTGGATATTTTTTGAAAAGAGAAAGAAAGTACGAAAAAAATATATACATAAACACATATTCCCAATACTGTCATTATCTTTCTTAATGTTGTGATTATCACTGCGACACTGTCATGATGACAATGTTATTTACAAAACTAAATGTAACAAAAACGTATGTATTTAACCCCATTAAACAGGTGAGATAAGGAAGGCCTAGTAATGATCCCTTGGTCCCTAAGCACTTGTTGAGCCATGCTATTCCAGCATCTAAGGGTTATTAAGGTGATCTTGGTTTGCACTGGACTTGATAATAGCTGGGTTTTATTCTCTCCTTACACACATTTAAAAGTATCTCTATTCACCATCTTTTCTAAACCAAGAAATACTTGCATAAAAATAAAAAGTTTATTTCTCATTCCATAATTCTATAAACAATTGGCTTTCAAGTAAAAAATAAAGGAATATCACAACATGTTAGCCTGATTTCTATAATCCCTTCGATCCGGGTGATGTGACCATCATGTCATGAAAAAATTTAGCTTGGGGAGTGGGTGATGTGAACATGCTGTCATGGGGAAAAATGGCCGAGGGCCAAGAGACAGAAAAGACTCCTCGTGAGTGGACAAACCTCTTGGAGGATGATTAGACTCATTTGGTGTTTACAAAGGGGCTTTTACATTATTCCCATTAATAGACGAGTGTGAAATGTAATGTCTGTGAGCCATGCCTTGAAGAGCATTGGCTCCAGGGAGGACGCCATTTACTTGCTCAGCATCCTACTCCTGACTGCTGTGACAGGCGGCGCAGGTTGCATTACAGAAAATTGAAAATTACAAAACAATAAAATGATTCAAATAACATATTAGATGATATGGCATGTAAGGGAAACAGATTATCACCATCTAGATAGAGCAAATCAAAAGACAAATATAGACACTGGAAAATGACAAAAACTTAAAAAGCTCACGCAAAACATTGCAAAGGGGAGGCATAGAGTCTTGTCACTGCACAAGAATGTTTGCACACACCAGGCCTACTTGCCGCACACCTGAGAGTGCAGCTGCTTACGCAAGTCATATTTTGGTCCATATGATTGCTGTGAAGCAACTGGATTCATGGGGTTAAAACTATGACAAACAATTTAAAGTAAAAAATAAATATTGATATTTGGTTTATCAGAAAAAAAAGAAAAGAAAAAGAAAGAAAAGAAAGAAAAAAAGCTTTTAACATTGAAAACTCATAATTCAAGGCAAATGGGTATTCTTAGAAACTTAGAAAGTTTGAACAAAGTGTAGAATTGGAATCAAAGTATAGGCAAGGAAATATTGTTATATAAAGAGAGACAGAATAAAACAAAAAAGACTTTCCTCTTCAGAATTAAGTTTAGGATAACAGATAATCTCCCTTTAACTGAATAATGTAGGCACACGCACAT